AATATAAATTTATAAAACCTAATATTTTTAATTTATATATAATTTATAAAAATCAATATAATAATAAAATATATTAATAATTTAGAATTTATAAAAAAATATATAATATATATAATATATATAAATTATATTTAATATATATAAAAAATATAATAATATATATTATAATATATATAAAATATATATAATATATAATTTATAAAACTTAATATATGTAATAAAAATAATATATATATATATATATATATATAAAATATAATAATATAAATTTAATATTTTATTTATAATTAAACTTAATATTTTTAATTTATATATAATTTAAAAAAATCAATATAATAATAAAATATATTAATAATTTAGAATTTACAAAAGTATAATAATATATATATTTTATTTTATTCTTTGTTCATTTTAAATCGTTCCAGTTTGTTCTACATAAACCACCGTATTTATATATTATAAAGCTACATATAAGTATTTTATATCCCACCATCGATAGAATATATTCGTGAGCATGCGCGTCAAGTGAAAACTCGTTTCCGGAATATTTTTCTCCTTTGTCATGCGGATTTGGCTTCATTTCTATTGCAATGAAATCGTCGACGCGGAACAATGTCCTTTTTTATGCAATTTACCGTAGCCCATTTTGGTTTGAAATACAAAACCGAGTATCACCCCCTTACCCCTATCTCTCATTTTCACTCCCTCCTCTTCCCCTTTTACTCTCTCTCTCTCTCTCTCTCTGTCTCTTTTTTTTTTTTTACTATCTCTTTATCGTTTCTTTCTCTCTTTTTCATACACTTTTGTTAAATTTTTTTTTTCATATTTTTTTTTTTTTTTATACGCATTTGAAAATGTTCATTTGCAGAATAGCCGGAGAGAAGTTACCCATGATAAAGGTAACGAATAACGAATAAATGCGACGTTTTCATTGATATCGTAGCCACTTAAATGAACAAGAGAGAGAAAGAATGGGAAAAAGGAAAAATTAGAGAAAAAGAAAGTGAGAGAAAACGATCACAGAGAATATACCAACGGATTTTCCATTATAGTTTTAGTGAGAGAAAGCACAGACCTACACACACGTGTGAATAAAATATATTCTTAAAAAGAAAATGTGTGTGGGGGTTGAAGGTTTTGGGATATCTTTTTCAAAAATTAATCGAATTCCTCCCTCACCTATCTATCGATTAAATTTTCTTCGATTTTCTCGTTTAAAAGAAGAAAATACAAATTAATAAAAAAAAAAAAAAAAAAAACAAAATGATGAAAGTGAAAAAGAAAAGAAGTAGAAATTACTTTTTTAAGGTTAGGAAAAGTGACGTAAAGTTACAATTAATTATTAGAACATATAATTAAAAGTTTCTTTTATCGTCCTGCGAACAATTTAATATTGGAAAATTGAAGAAATCAAATAAGAGAAAAAATAAACTGAAAGTAATCAAAATAAAAGTTTCACACGTTACGCAATTTGGGATATTTTTAGAGATGTGAAATGCAGGTTAGGTTTTGGGTTTAAAATAAAAATCCCTTATGCACCTATTATTATTATCATAATCATTAATTGCATTTTCTTCTTGGATTGTATAACACAGAAAAGAAAGAATAGTGAGACGTGCAGGTGAAAAGAGATGAAATCAAAGTAAAAAATAAAATAAAATAAAATWAAGAAGTGGGGTTAGGTTGGGGAGGGAGATTGGGGTAATTTTAGAGATGTAAGATGTAGTTTTAAAATAAAAATCCCTTATGCACTTATCATCATCATTATCATTTTCAATTGCATTTTCTTCTTGGATTGTACAACGTAGAAAAGGAAGACGAGGAAGATGTGCAGATGAAAGGGAAGAAATCAAAGTAAAAAAAAAAAGAAATGAAATAAATAAAAAAGTGGAGATAAGGGGGTAGGAAAGGAAAAGTTTCAGTTTACACAGTTTGGTATTTGAGGTTATGTGAAATCCTTTATGCACTTATCATCATCATCATCGTCGTCATCAATTTGCATATTTGCATTTTCTTATTCGATTGTACAACGTAGAAAAGGAAGACGAGGAAGATGTGCAGATGAAAGGAAAGAAATCAAAGTAAAAAGAAATAAAAATAAAATAAATAAAAAAATGGGGTAGGTGAGGGTGGGATATTGGGGTAACTTTAGAGATGTTAGATGCAGGTTTGAAATAAAAAAAATCCTTTATGCATCTATTATCATCGTCATCATCATCATCATCATCATCATCAATTGCATTTTCTTCTTTGATTGTATAAAATAGAGAAGGAAGAAAAGTGAGACGTGCAGATGAAAGGGATGAAATCAAAGTAAAAAAAAAAAAAAAAATAAAATAAAATAAATAGAAAAAAGTGGGAGGTAAGAGGGTGGAGAAGGAGAAGTTTCAGGTTACACAGTTTGGTATTTGAGGTGATGCGGGTTGATCGCGTTGACGTTGTCAGAAACGTTGACATAGACGGCTTTGCAAGGACGAAGTTTGGGTCAGCAGGGACGACAATTCGCTATACTATAGTCGAGAGTGACATGCTTGGATCCTCGGAGAACTCGTCGTCGTCGTCGTCGTCGTCGTCGTCGTACGTGTCGGCTAGCTTCTATTGTAGAAACGTGAATGGTGGGTCATTGTGAAGTGAGCGAGAGAGAGATAGAATAGTAGCACATAGTGTATTACTATATATATGTATATGTATGTGTGTGTATTTATGTACAACTACGACGAATGATGACGTTCTCTTGGTTATCCTGATACCAACGCTTGATCCTGCTTTTATCCTTCTAAACTATCTATGTATATATATGTGTACGTATTTCACTTCACATGTATGTTGTATGAGAACTTTTGGAATTTACTATACTTGACTTTGAATGAGATACGAGAGTAAATCGTATGAATATTGTATCGTAGAAACGTTTGGAGTTAACTTGATAGGAGTAAATAACTTCAATGTGTGCTTAATATTAAGTGTAGTTTGGTATTTATTTCTTTTAGGGTGAGAGTGGGGGTTGGAGGATTATGCGATTAGGTATTATCATTTATTTATTTTGATCGACTAATGTGTTGTGTGTGATTAAATTATTTTCTGTTTATTCTAAAATCATATATATTTTATTTTATAATAATTAAATATAATATTGTTGGTTTATTTATATATGAGTTTATACTCTTCTGCAATAATTAATATTTGATTAGTGTGTGTTTAAAATTAATTATAGGTTGTTTCTTTCTTTTTTGGATTGGGTGAGGATTATGGGATTGAGTAATATTTTATCTAATAATGTTTACAATTCAATTCATAAAATATTAATAATTAAATCATTATTGTTGGTTTATTCATATATGAGTTTAGTTCTGTTATAATTAATATTCGATTAGATGTAATTCAATTATTACATAACAAATGTTGACAAAATATGATAAATGAAAATAATTACAAAAGATTAGTTTGAAAATTTGTTCTTTCAAATAATATTTAAATGAAAATAATAATTTTCAACGGCATACGTGAAAATTAATCTCCAAAAACAATTGAGTTTTTCGATGATAAAAAAAAAGGAAACCGGAAGGAAGGAAGTACGAATTAGCAACGAGTTCAGTGATTTTAATATTCATCCGTGATTTTTAAACAGTATGACAATGAAACGTGCGTTATAGAGAAATTACGCGTAACAGATTTACGAGGTGAGTTGACGACGCGCGGAAACGTAAGCGGCCCATGAAACGGAATTAAATGGCGTTTCCGGGTCGTGCCATTTTTTTCTCTCTCTCTCTCTCTCTTTCTCTCTTTTCGTTCTCCGTTTAGTCGTGTCCTGTCGCAAAGAGTAGTCTCGTATAAGCTTACTCCCACCCCACCTTCACCCCACTCAAAAAAATGTGCTCGTACTTCGGAAAAAACTAAAGTTAAAAAAAGAAAAGAGAGAAAAGTTACAAACAAATGTTAAAAAGAAAGAATGGGAGGAAAAAAAAATAAATGGCCTTTGATACCAACGAGAATTGCGTTTTTCTAGCTCCGTAACAACGAACGAGTGCCGATTTTCATGTTCGGTGAACTTTGCACTCACGGAAAGTTAATCAAGGTCGAACGGAAACTGTGCAAATTTATGCACTACGACTGTTGGCAAAAAAAAAAAAAAGAAGTTATTACCTCATTTACCAGGCGTGGAACCGCGAATTGTAAAAATAAAATAAAATAAAAAGAGAAAGAGAAAGATAATTAAAGTCGTACATCCCGTTTTATATACGGAAACGTAACATTTTAATAGCTATTAATTTTGATCGTATTTTATACAGTGTATAATAGTATCAGGTAGGTCTAATAATAATAATAATAATAATAATGGGTTAAATAAAATAAAATAAACATTAGGTGTTCTACTTACTCTTTGTGGTACACCCATTCTCGTTCTACCATGTCTCGGTGAACCCTGAGTTTGTCCTTGTTTTTCTTTCTTGTGTGTTTTTAAACCCCTCAATAACCTCGAGAACGTGGTCTTCTTTTTACTCGTGTTATGTCCTTGTTCTGTAATCAGAATACAAAAAATATATCAATCATAAGTTAATACACGAGATAGAGAAAGAGATTATATCCTATGTGGTTGGAATAATCGAACGAGATGTTCGATTCCATTTGATTCGATTCGATACGATTCGGTTAAATTTGATTAGATTCAATTCGATTCGATTAGACTCGATTCGTGTGAGACCAAGGTATTGGAAGATAGAAGAGTACAAATATTCAGTACCGTACCCACCAAGAGAGTGCCATCAAAAGTGGGAGGTGTGTGGGGGGTTGGTGGTGGGAGGGAAAGTCGTGGTGCTAGCTGCATTTATCGGACGATGCGTGAAATCTTTCGAAATACCCAATTTACGGTGGAACGGGGTTAGCACTACCACCAATCTCGCAAATAATCGAATAAATCGGGGTTCACCGCAACATCGCTGTCCATTAACGGATAATTCAGGCGGGCCCGTTAGTCGCCCACGCCCAACGCCCTTTCAACGACAGTATATTGTATTAGTGTCAACGCATCCGTTTATTAGTACGGACAACAACGGGTACCTAATTGCCTACCTATAGATGATGGTGCTGGTGCTGGTGCTGCTGTTCACTCTACACCCAGGAACGAATTATCTCGGCTCCAGCTTGGTGCCGGGACGACCGATGATCGACGAAATGATTCGTTCGAGTTTACCCCTATCCCACCTCTATCCTACAGCACCCCCACTCATTCGTGTTGCCGTGCCGAATAATTCACTTTGCATAACGTGTCCTAGTACACCACACCCGTGGTGTCATCGATGGTGGTCATACGAATGGCTTTCTATCACAAAGAAACATTCGACAAAACCTGCTGCTGCTGATGCTGATGCGATGCTGATGCTGCTTCCAATGACCTGTCGTCCATTGGAACTCTATCTATCTCTCTCTATCTATCTTTCTATCTATCTCTCTTACTCAGCAATAATTAACGTAACTCATCTTCGAGTTAATACGCTCCGGGTTTCTATCCTACCACCACATGACGTTTACCATCAATGGCATTTCACATAGATGGAATTTTTAAGGAACATGTGAACTCTATGTTATTCTATCGTTGGTAATCGAACACATAGCATATTATCTCAATACCATCACCATTACCCAACCGTTTACATTTCCACTCGTCCGGATTTCTATTTGAAAATGTAACCCATCGAATTAGCCAATTCCAACACAGATGTGAGAATATAGGAACTGAGATTAGAGGTAACATCCAATTAAGAACAAAACAGTTATCATGTGTTAAACGTGTAATCAATAATAAATTACGATGTAATCGTGAAATATTCGTTAAATGTTTATACGTTACATTAATTATAGATTTCTATTTATGATATTATGAAATAAATTTACAGATATCGATATGTTATACCATTGATAAGTTTATTCGTGTAATCGGTTCAATCATTACTATCCCTTTAGCTTTTACTCCATTGGTTTCTATTGCTTCGTGTAATTACACGAGGGTTAAACGTTACGTATGATTAGATTATAGATTAGAGCGGTAAATCTAATAAATTATTATCATCTCACGTGTTTAATATTATTAACAATTATACAGTTTCAATTAATAATAATTAAAAGTAAAATAGAAAAGGGTAATCGTAAAAACAATTGTTCGTAGTAAGAAAAAAAATAAGAAAATTTATATGTTTTGTGTAATTAGATGGGGTTAAATGTTACGCATGATTAGATTATAGATTAGAGAGGAAATTCTAATAAATTATTATCATCTCACGTGTGTTTAATATTATTAATAATTATAATTAATATTTAAATATTATATTTTAACACTTAGTCGACTAAAGCTCACTGCAACGAAATGTACGGTTTCCAAAAGTGACACATATTGATATTCTGTTTATAATTTTAACACCATTAAATTAAGGCAACTATGTAGATAAATAAAAGAAGAAAAAGAAACGGGTTGCTAAGGTCAATTTGGGAAATATCCGTGATTGGTCTAGCATCGACTTACACTTAGTCGACCATGCGTGCTGCAGCGAACTGTACGGTTTCCACAAGTGATGTGGACTGATTTTCGGTTTATAATTTTAACGCCAATTAATTAAGGCAACTATGTAGATAAATAAAAGAAGAGAAAGAAACGGGTTGCTAAGGTCAATTTGGGAAATATCCATGATTGGTCTAGCATCGACTTACACTTAGTCGACCACGCGTGCTGCAGCGAACTGTACGGTTTCCACAAGTGACGTGGACTAATTTTCGGTTTATAATTTTAACGCCAATTAATTAAGGCAACTATGTAGATAAATAAAAGAAGAGAAAGAAACGGGTTGCTAAGGTCAATATGGGAAATCTCCACGATTGGTCTAGCATCGACTTACATTGAAACGAGGAGATCTCCCCGATCAGTTGGCCAAGTGTTAATTCAATTAATAATAATTAAACGTAAAATAGAAAAAGGCCAATCCTAAAATGATTATTTGTAATAAAAAAGGAAGAAACCATAAAAAAATTTATATCGTTTAAAAGAAGAAATTTATACGTGGTGGAATTTCAGTGTCAGCAATGAATTTACAGAATGGATGCAAGTCTCGGACATTTTTCGGGTAAAACTATAAAATCTATTTTTCTCATCGGGACATTTACCGATTGTCGACGATAAAGGGGAACCCCCCTCGTAAAAAGAAAAAAAACAAATCTTGAAAAATGTTTAGGATGGTGGAAAGGGAAGGAGGAGGATGAGGAGGAGGATGAGGGAAGTGGGTGGAAGGGGCTTTAGAAAGTAAGAAGAAAAGTTTCTTGAAAGAAAGTAATCGAGAAAATTCGTTGTAGCGAATCCACAGTTAACGGTAGTCGCTATTACTCGAAGCGAGTATCGTTTCTATGGTGGTATAAGCCAATGAAATAACGCAGAAAGAGAAAAAGAGAGAGAGAGGGGTCACAGGGGTAAGATAGAAAACTGGCTCATATGAAGGGAGCGGAATATAAGAGTCTCGCGGGACCACCATCGCGAGTAAGAAGAAGGAATGTCCTATCTTCGTAATATTGGTTATATATATAGGTATATATATATATATATATATNGTGGACTAATTTTCGGTTTATAATTTTAACGCCAATTAATTAAGGCAACTATGTAGATAAATAAAAGAAGAGAAAGAAACGGGTTGCTAAGGTCAATATGGGAAATCTCCACGATTGGTCTAGCATCGACTTACATTGAAACGAGGAGATCTCCCCGATCAGTTGGCCAAGTGTTAATTCAATTAATAATAATTAAACGTAAAATAGAAAAAGGCCAATCCTAAAATGATTATTTGTAATAAAAAAGGAAGAAACCATAAAAAAATTTATATCGTTTAAAAGAAGAAATTTATACGTGGTGGAATTTCAGTGTCAGCAATGAATTTACAGAATGGATGCAAGTCTCGGACATTTTTCGGGTAAAACTATAAAATCTATTTTTCTCATCGGGACATTTACCGATTGTCGACGATAAAGGGGAACCCCCCTCGTAAAAAGAAAAAAAACAAATCTTGAAAAATGTTTAGGATGGTGGAAAGGGAAGGAGGAGGATGAGGAGGAGGATGAGGGAAGTGGGTGGAAGGGGCTTTAGAAAGTAAGAAGAAAAGTTTCTTGAAAGAAAGTAATCGAGAAAATTCGTTGTAGCGAATCCACAGTTAACGGTAGTCGCTATTACTCGAAGCGAGTATCGTTTCTATGGTGGTATAAGCCAATGAAATAACGCAGAAAGAGAAAAAGAGAGAGAGAGGGGTCACAGGGGTAAGATAGAAAACTGGCTCATATGAAGGGAGCGGAATATAAGAGTCTCGCGGGACCACCATCGCGAGTAAGAAGAAGGAATGTCCTATCTTCGTAATATTGGTTATATATATAGGTATATATATATATATATATATATATTGCTGAAGGTTTAACTACTGGTGTCTAGTTCGGAACGAATGAATCGTATGGAATAAAAATAAACTCGATTGGTATAGGAGGATCCCATATCTTGAATCCAATAAATTTTTTTCTTTAACGCGAAACGAAAAAGGGGGAGGAGAAAAATAAAAATAAAAAGAGAGATTGAGAATGAAAGAACAAGAGAGATGGGAGAAAATAAGAACAGAGGATAAACAATTAAAAAGTTAAGTGCAACGTGTACCACAGGTGGTATACTTAAATATATTTTTTTAATGACGATGAAAATATATTTTTCTGACAAATTTATTTATGTAAAAATATATTTCTATTATTTTAAATAAATAATTTAATTATATTATTATTTATTTATAAATTGGATTATATTATTATATTATTATTTATTTATAAGTGTAACTTGTGTACCATAGTTGGTATATGCTTAAATATATTTTTTTTAATGACGATGAAAATATATTTCTATGACAAATTTATTTATGTAAAAAAATATTTCTATTATTTATAAATTTAATTATATTGTTATATTATTATTCATTTACAAATTTATATAATATATTTTACAATAAATATAATTATATTATTAGATTATTGTAAAATATTTGAGACATTATACAAAATACAGTAGGTATACATTAAAGCACACAATGTATATTTAATTGTTTTATACTTATAATAATTAATAAATACATCTAATGAGATTGATTTTATTAATGCAAGATCAAATGGAATTTTTCAAACGACAAGTTAGACAATAAGGGCTTGGCATGGAACATCTTAAAAAAAAATAGGAGATAAAACAAAACAAAAGAGTAAATAAAAAAGACTGAAAGTGAAACAAAAAAATAAAACAAAGTAAGGAAGAGAGAGAGAAGTTTTTAAGACTGTAAAAAAACGAATAAGATGATAAGTAAAATATCAAGCAAAAAGGGAATTATGGGGATTGCCATAAACAGGAAAAATAAGAATCGATCATGGGAATCAAGATTGAAGAGGGAACCCAGTTTTTTTCGTTTGTGCATCGAATCTCTCAAAGTCGCGAAGGGTAAAAAAAAGAAGGAGGAGGGTTC